ACCATAGTTTGTTTATCCATTCATCTGTTGATGGGCATCTAGGTTGTTTCCATCGTTTTGCTACTGTGAACAATGCTGCCATGAACATAGGTGTACATATGTCTATTCGAGTGACGACCCTTATTTCTCTAGGATATATTCCTAGGAGTGGGATTGCTGGATCGAATGGTATGTCTATTTCTAGCTTTCTGAGGAAGCGCTCAGTGGCTGATTTTTTGGAAGTGGATCACCAGGTTTTTCTTCTGAGGCATCTCTGGGTGGGCATGCACCTTCGTTTAGCAACTGAGTGCATTAACAGTTTGCACCACTCACAGACTCCTGAAGTATTAACCAGTCCACTGTTGCAGACGCTTAGGTGGCTTCTGGGTGTTTTTCTATCACAATGCCTCATGTGTGTGCCACATTTCGCTCAAGTGTAAGCATATCCTAGGAGTGAAACTGGGGGTCGAAGGGTATTGTCTTAGTCTGGGTTCTCTAGAGGAGCAAAACCAGTGAAATGTGTATATAAATATACAGAAAGAGGTTTACATCAAGGAAATGGCTCATGCAATTGTGAGGGCTGGCAAGTCCCAAATCCATGCATCCAGCGGCAGGCTAGAGACCTCTGCTGGCTCACGGGTTTGCAGGGCCCGGTGAATCCAAGATCTGCAGGTAGGCTGGAGACTCCTGCAGACTTATGTCCCAAGTATCGGAGGTCAGGCAATGAGAAGAGTGAAGTGTCGAGAGAGTCCGAGCTTTGCCAGAATGTCCGTTTATATACTCCAGGTGGGCCACACCCCCAAGGAAACTCACCTTTCAACTGATTGGCTGCTCACATCAGATCACAAAATGGAGAGTGATTATCTTATGTAAAAGCACCTCGTCCAGTGTCTGCCAAACCACCGAGAATTATAGCCTAGCCAAGTTGACACATAACATTAACCATCACCCGTGTGTACCTATGTTTTCAAAGTTTGAATTTATGCCATCTGTGTATTTAAAACTGGATATTGAGAATAATCAGGCTTGTCTGATGAACATTCTAATTTTTCCTCCACTGTTAATGGTTAGGAGGTTCAGTCACGTCAGAATGAGCAGCAGTTTACGTCCGTATTTTATTTTGGCGAAAGCACGCAGAAGTCAAGACTGATTTTTTGGTAGGTGTAAGCCTACTTTCATCATAGCATAGTTTTGCTCTAAAGCTGCCTTTTCTCACCCCTCATATTTTGCAGAGTGCTTGCTCCTATTGCCGGTTATCTTAGGCTGGGTTCTCTAGAGAAGCAAAACCAGTAAAGCATATAAATATATATATAGATTTATATCGAAGAAATAGCTCACGCGATTGTGGAGGCTGGAAGTCCTGAGTCCATGGATTAGGATAGAGGCTTCTCCGGATTCACGTAGCTGTAGGGGCTGATGAACCAAAGAATGGCAGGTCAGAAAGCAGGGCTCCACTCAGACTGTGAAGATGGATGAATCCCAAGATCAGCAGATAAGCTGATAGCTCAAGCCCCAAGAACTGGAGGTCAGATGAACAGGAGGCAAGCGTAGGATCCAGAGCAGGCAAAAAGCCAGAACATCTGCTTATATTCAGATGCAGGCCAAACCCCCAAGGAAACTCCCTTTCCACTGATTGGCTACTCACAGCAGATTCAATCATGGGAGTGACCACATATGAACACTGAGAATCATGGCCCAGCCAAGCTGTCACACAGTCTTAACCGTCACACTGGTATAGCTTGTTCTGGTGATCATTTGGCCTTCTTTTTTAAAAAAAAATGTTTTTTAACAGCTTTACTGAGATATAATCCATATACTATGAGATTACCCGTTTCAAGTACACCATTCAATGATTTTTAGTAAATTTACAGAGTTGGGCAACCAACACTATGATTCAGTTTGAGAACATTTCCTTCTCCCGAAAAGCTTTCTCGTGCCTGCTTGCAGCCAATCCTTGTGGCCACCCCCAGCCCCAGGTAACCACTGCTTTGCTTTCTGTCTCTATCAATTTCCCTTTTCTGGACATTTCATATAAATGGAATCATACAAAATATAGTCTTTTATGTCTGGCTTCTTTTAGTTAGCGTAATGTTTTTGAGGTTCATCCCCATTTTAGCACACATCAGTAGTTTGTTCCTTTGTATGGCTGACTGGTGTTCCATTGTAAGGCTACACCTGCTGTCATGGATGGAACTGTGTCCCCAGAAATATCTGTCAACTTGGCTAGGTCATGATACCCAGTATTTGACTGTCTACCATTTTGTAATCCTAGGTGATTTCCCTATGTGTTGTAAATCCTATCACTATGATGTAATAAGATGGATTAGCAGCAGTTACATTGATGAAATCTACAGGATTAGATAGTGTCTTAAGCCAATCTCTTTTGAGATATAAAAGAGAGAAGCAAGCAGAGAGACGTGGGGACCTCACACCACCAAGAAAGCAGTGCCGGGAGCAGAGCACGTCCTTTGGACCTGAGGTTCCTGCGCTGAGATGTTCCCAGACCAAGGGAAGACTGATGACAAGGACCTTCCTCCAGAGCTGACAAAGAAAGAAAGCCTTCTCCTGGAGGTGATGCCCTGAATTTGGACTTGTAGCCGACTAGACAGTGAGAGAATAAATTTCTCTTTGTTGAAGCCATCCACTTGCAGTATTTCTGTTACAGCAGCACTAGATAACTAAGACACCTGCTAACCAAAATATTGGCAGTTCAAATCCACCAGCCACTCTTTGGAAACCCTGTGGGGGGAGTTCTGCTATAGGGTCACCATGAGTTGGAATCAACTCGATGGCAACAAGTTTGTTTTTAGTGACCCTAGCCATAGCTCTTACCACTGAACCACCAGGGCTCCATAGGGTCACTATGAATTGGAATCGACTCAGTGGGAATGGGTTTGGTTTTTTTGATTTTTGGTAAGGATATACCGTGATTTATCCATTCCTCGGTTGATGGATATTTGGATTATTTCTACTTTTTGACTAGTATGAATAATGCTGCTCTGAACATTAATGTACAATGTAAATTTATGTTTAACTTTTTAAGAAACTGCCAAAGTATTTTCCAAAGTGGCGGCACCATTTTACATTCCTACCAACAATTTATGAGGGTTCCAGTTTCTCCATGTCCTAACCAGCACTTGCTATTCTCTTTCTTTTCTTTTTTTTGAAAGAATCAAAAACTTTTTATGTAAAATTATACCACAATGTACATTAAAAAAAAAAATGAAAACAAAAAATCTCTGGGTCCAAAAGACATTGTAAAGCAAATGAGACATGTTTTCTATAACTGTACAATTGAAGTTTTATATAACTATATATATATATATATATACAAGTACAGCTAAAAAGTTACATAAAAACCAAAAACCAAACCAGCTGCCATCAAGGTAATTCCAACTCATAGGGCTCCATGTGTTTCATTAATAGAACTGCACTCTGTAGGGTTTTGAATGGCTGATTTTGTGGAAGTACATTGTGAGAGTTCTCTTCCAAGGTGCTTCTGGATGGATTGGGATGACCAACCTTTCAGTTAATAACCGAGCACCTGCTTAACTGTTTGCCAAACCCAGGGACACAGATGAATATTATCCTAAATATTTATACTAGAAATCAATACACAAGAGATTCGTATTAAGGATGAGGCACTTACAAAAGCAGTATCATAGCTATAAAAATTGAAAGGATTTTGCTCCTACTCTTGAGTTTTCATATACACAATAAGGGAATTGATACATCTGAAGGTTTTCCCGTATTCTTTACATTTGTAAGGGCTTTTTCCCCCCAGTGTTTTCTTGTGTGTAAAACAAGGCTTTCCAGGTGAATGAAGGCTTTCCAACATGTGTTGTATTCTTAAGGTTTCTCTTTAAGAGATTCGGGGTACTTGTAGGCTTTCCCACACTGCTTACATTCATAGGGTTTCTCACCAGAGTGCATTCTCATATGTAATGTAGAGAGTTACGCCAAGGGAAGGCTTTCCCACACTCTTTACATTCAAAGGGTTTCTCGCCAGAGTGCCTTCTCATATGTTGTCGAAGGGAGGCAAACCAAGGGAAGGTTTTCCCACATTGTTTACATTCATAGGGTTTCTCTCCAGTGTGTGTATTCATGTGTTGTCGAAGGTTTGCAGACATACTGTAGACTTTTCCACATTCCTTACATTCATAGGGTTTCTCTCCACTGTGCATTTTCACATGTATTCGAAAGTATTGGGGACAACAGAAACCTTTTCCACATTGCTTACACTCATAAGGTTTCTGTTCACTGTGCGTTTTTTCATGTCCATAAAGGGCAGAGTACCAAGTGAAAGCTTTTCCACACTGCTTACATTTATAGGGTTTCTCTCCAGTGTGTGTTCTCTCATGTTCTTGAAGCGATGAGTAAAAAGTAAAGGCTCTCCAACAATACTTACACTCATAGAGTTTCTCTCCAGTGTGCATTCTCACATGTTCTCGAAAATATGTGGGACAATTGAAGGCTTTCCCACATTCCTTACATTCATAGGGTTTCTCTCCACTGTGCATTTTCACATGTTTTTGGAAGTATTTGGGACAAATGAAGACTTTGCCACATTGCTTGCATTCATTGGGTTCTCCCCACTGTGTATTTTTACATGTTGTTGAAAGTATTTGGGACAACTGAAACCTTTGCCACATTGCTTACATTCATAAGTTTTCTGTTCACTGTGTGTTTTCTCACATCCATGAAGGGAGGAATAACAACTGAAGGCTTTCCCACATTCTTTACATTCATAAGGTTTCTCTCCACTGTGACGTTTTAAATGTAGTTTAAGGGAGGAGAAACGAATAAAGGTTTTCCCACATACTTCACATGCAGGGGTTTTCTGTCCTCTGTGACCACTCACACGTTTCCTCAAACGCTTCTTCTGGATTTGGGACTGATCTTCAATGTTATGGAGTTTCCCTTTTTTTTCCAAATCAGACGAAGAATCCTTTTGCATGAATTTTTTTTTCTCATCATTGGAGATTTCATTCCCAAATATATCCTGCTGAGGACTTGATCCAGTGGTTTTAACTTGAATACACCAATCATGTCCGGCTTTTGCAGATCTCCCTGCGTCCTGCCCACGGGAACAAGGACTTCCGGAGTCGCGCGAATAGATAATAAACTTTCTAGCACCGTACGTGCCTGTCTTTCTTTTCTTAAAATTTTTTTTATTGTGTTTTCAGTGAAGTTTTACACAGCAGTTTATGTTCCCATTCAACAATTTTTACACAAGTTGTTCAGTGACATTGGTTACATTCTTCACAATGCATGAACATTCTTATTATTTCTATTCTGGTTGTTCCATATCCATTAATCTAGTTTCCCTGCCCTCTTACATTCTCATCCTTGTTTTAAAGTAATTGTTGACTGTTTGGTCTCATATAGATGATTTTTTAAAGGAGTACAGTACTTACGGGTGATATTCATTATTTTTTGAGTCAATTTGTTATTTAGCTACAAGGTGACCTCAGGGGTTAGTATCAGTTCAAAGTCTGAAGAATATCGTTTGGCCTTCTTGATAGTGTGTTATGATTAAGAACTTGAGCTCTGTGGCTCTGTGGTCTTGGGCAAGTTACTTAACCTCTCTGTGCTTCAATTTCCTCTTCACTAAAATGGGAATAGGAAAAGCACCTACCCCATAAAATGACGGTGAGGATTAAATGTGTGAAGGGCCCAACACACAGTGTTATTATTATCTAATTTGATCTCTGAAATAGATGATTTTCGGCACCAGCGTTAGCACCCCCACTTAGGGAACTCTTTAGTAACACTCCTATAACCCATTGCTGTCAAGTAGATTTTGACTCACAGCGACCCTATAGGACAGGGTAGAACCGCCACATAGGGTTCCAAGGAGCGAGCTGTTAACCACTGCACCACTAGGGCTCCAACACTCCTATAGGCTATAAAAAAGAGATGTTTGGGTAATTATTTATTTTGATATAATTCAACTTTACAAAAAAGTAGCAAGAATAGTACAAGGGATTCCTGTTATACTCTTTAAAAAAATTTTTTTATTGTGCATTAGGTGAAAGCTTACATTGCAAATTAGTTTCCCATTCGATACTTTGTACACAAAGTGTTCCACCACGTCGGTTCCATTCCCTACAATGTGCCTGCCTTCCCCCCATTTCTATCCAAGTTTCCCTTTCGTCCTGAATTGCTACCCCTTCGTGCCTTCTCATCTTTGCTTTTTGGGCAAATGTTGCCCTTTCGATCGCGTATAATAGATTGTTCTAAAGAACATGTTCCCCTCAGGTGTTGCTATTGATTTTATGGGCCTGTCTATGGTTTGGCGGATGGGTGGTCTCCAGGGAATGGCTTCAGTTCCAGCTCAGAAGGGTGTCTTAGGGCCATCATCTTGGGGGCCTGTCCTACTCTTTACCCAGATTTGCCAGTTGTTTACAATTTTCCCCATTTGTTTTATGCTTCCCCCTCCCCTTGCCATATACATACATAATATATACATATATACCTATTGGTTTTTTGAACCCTCTGAGTGTTGTTGAAGAACATCATGCTTCCTTCACCTCAAAACACTTCAGTGTATATTTTCTGGGAACAAGAACATTCTCTCACATAACACAATAGAGTTATCAAAATTGAGAAATCTAACCTGGATACAATACTGTTATCTAATCCACAATCCATATTCCAATTTCATCGTTCCTCATTGCCATTTCCCCCCGGCTCAAGTTCCAATTCAGGATCACGTGTTACATTTACGTGTTGTATATGTGCTCCCTTTTTAAAAGGGAATGTTAAAACAAGAGCACAAACCCATTTCCTTCTAGTTGATTCTGACTCATAGTGATCCTATAGAACAGAGTAGAACTGCCCCATAGGGTTTCCAAGTCTGTAATCTTTATGGAAACAGACTGCCACATCTTTTTCCCTGTGGAGCTGTTGGTGGGATTTCAACCATCAACCTTTTGGTTGGCAGCTGAGCGCTTAACCACTGCACCACTAGGGCTCCTCAACAGCACAAAACCCAAAAAAACCCAAATCCATTGCTATCGAGTTGATTCCAACCCATGGTGACCCTGTAGGACAGAGTAGCACCTCCCCAGAGGATTTCTAAGAAGTGGCTGGTGGATTTGAACTGCTGACGTTTTGGTTAGCAGCTGAACGCTTAACCACTGCGCCACCAGCTCGCAATAGCACAAGCCCACAAAGGTCCCCCAAATTGCTCAAGGGACTTGATGCCTGCAAGTCATAGAAGGGTTCCAGCAGGGATGGCCAGCTCGTGTGGCGCCATCTTGTGGCAAAATTGTGGGAATAGCGTTTATAGATCACCCTGTTGGGCCCCTATGAAATTGTTCCCTTTTCAATGACGTAAAAAAAATGTTGGTGGTATTCATACAATCTCAGTTTTTATTAATAATGCAGAAAACTATGTTTTAAATATTTCACTGTTTGCAATCCATATACGTTAACTCAGGGTAAAATGGGACTTGCACTCTCAAATCCAGACCCACACAGGTAAGTCCAGTGCTCTGGATAAAAGGTGGGTTTGGACTGAGACACCTTTGGGGATGAAGCTGGGTGCCACAACATTCTGGCTGTGTGATCTTTGGCAAGAGACCTCCCCTCTCTGGGCCTACGTTTACTCTTACAAAATAGTCCTTGCTGGGGCTTCTACTCGCAGGATGGTGGGGGAGCATTTATCAAGGTCACAAATATAATTCCTTAGCACTGGGCCTGATGGGTGGGAATTTTTCAATGACAGGTTAAAACCCAAATCAAACCCACTGCTGTTGAGTAGATTCCGACTCATAGTGGCCCTATGAGTACAACAGAGTACAACTGCCCCATTGGGTTTCCAAGGCTGTAAATCTTTATGGAAGCAGATGCCACATGTTTCTCCCATGAATGAAAGGTTAAGAGATTATTATTATTCTTTCCTCAACTCTTTGGGGGCAAACAAGTTCAGATCTGGAACAAAAAGCAGACCAGTACAAGGGCTTTAAGCTTCTTAGTCAAAAGCACATTCATTTATTCAGCAAATAGGTCTTGATCCCCAAATCCCAGCTATGTGCCAGGCATTGATCTAGGTACTGGGAATACAGTGGTGCCCAAGGGAAGGTCTTTGTGCTCATGGAATTTATATTCTGGTGTTGGGTGTAGACAGTTAAAAAATAAACAGAGAAGATCCTTTAGTGGTAACTGTTAGGTAGAGAATTCAAATATGTTAAACAGATAGTGACAGCAGGGCTTCTCTTTGGCTATGAGGTGGCCAGGGAAGACCTCTTTAAAGTGGTAAGATTTAAACTGAGTTCTGCAAGACAAGAAGGATTAGTAACGCAAAGATCGAGATCAAGGGAACAGCAAGTGCCAAGGCCCTGAGGTGGGAACCAGCTTGGTCTTTTTGGAGGGACAGAGGTTAGTGTGGCTGGAACGTGGTGGTCAAGGGCAAGAGCAGCTGGAGATGAAGTCAGAAAGATAGGCAGGGGGCAGATGGCACAGGGTCCTAAGGCCATGGGAAGGCCTTTAGCTTTTATTCCTTGTGGGATGGGAAGCCATCTACGTGTTTGGAGAAGATGTTGTTGTTAGCTGCTGTCAAGTTGGCCCCAACTCATGCACAATGGACCCAAAAGCTGCCCGTTCCTGCACCATCCCCATGATTAGTTGCAGAGTGTACCATTGTGATCCATAGGGTTTTAATTGGCTGATATCTGGAAGTAGATTGCCACGCCTTCTTGGTCTGTCTTCCCATTGCTGGCAAGTCAATTCTGACTCATGGCGACCCTATAGGATGAGTAGAGCTGCTCCATAGGATCTCCAAGGAGCGGCTGGTGGATTCGAACTGCCGACCTTTTGGTTAGCAGCCGAGCTCTTAACCACTGCACCACCAGGGCTCCTGGTCTGTCTTAGTCTGGAAGCTCCACTGAAACATGTTCAGCATCACAGCAATACGTAAGCATCCACTGACAGGCGGTGGCTGTGCATAAGATGCATTGGCCGGGCACTGAACCCAGATCTCCGCATGGAAGGTGAGAATCCTGGCACTGAGCCGCCACTGCTCTCACTGGAGCAGACCAGTAAGGTGTGCAAATCCAAGCACAGAGAGTGGAAGAAGCTTCATCCTAAGGTCTGCACAAAAGTGCATTAACCTAGCATGACCACTTAAACATTTGGGGAGTCTCTGATGTGTTATAAAAGTTGAACATGTGTGGTGTCTTCTATTACAATTTTGAACAAGTTAGAAACATTTTTAAGAAAGGAAATTGGAACCAACATTTAGAGAATCCCTGAGGCTTATCTGTACTTCTGCCAAACATACAAAATTACTCTAAAATGATCTTCCCAACAGTAGCATCTAGGGTGGGGCTCAGGAACTTCTGGTTGGGGAATCAAAGGTAGTATTTCCACATTTCTTCATAATGTAGGAAACTATGTTTTAAATATTTTAAATAAGAATAAAAAAAAATTTGTTTTAATGGTTAAAGACTTCTTTGAGAATCTGATCAACAATATGGACTTTCTCCCCAGAAAATGCTCTGCTTAGGATGAAGAATGGTTAGATGTTTACCTGTGTTTTATTGACTGTGCAAAGGCATTCGCCTGTGTGGATCATAACATATTATGGATAACATTGTGAAGAATGGGAATTCCAGAACACTTCACTGTGCTCATGAGGAACCTGTACGTAGACCATGAGGCAGTTGTTCAAATAGAACAAAGGGATACTGCG